ATACGTCCCAAGTAAAGGACCTAACGCTTTGCCCACTCACACTTCTATCTTGAATTTTGCCTCTCGTAGTTTATTAAGCACAACTCGAAGGTGTTCCTCATGCTCTTTCAGACTCTTACTAAAAAATCAATATATCATCAAGAAAAACAACGACAAACTTGTCAAGCCATTCACGAAAAAGTTCATTCATGCATCATTGGAAGGTTGCAGGGGCATTAGTCAAACCAAAAGGCATTACCACAAACTCATAGTGGCCATATCTTGTTCGGAAAGCCGTTTTGTGTCGATCCTCAAGCAATACCTCAATTTGATGGTAACCCGATTTGAGATCAATCTTGGAGAAATAACTGCAACCCTGAACTCTATCCAGGAGATCGTCTATACGTGGTAATGGTTCAACATTCTTAACTGTTATTGCGTTAAGTCCCCTATAGTCTATGCACATACGCAGTTCGCCGCCCTTCTTTGGCACAAACAAGATTGGTGCACCGAATAGCGAGGAACTTGGTTTAATCCACCCCTGCTCAAGCAATTCATCCAATTGCTTTCACAGTTCATCCAACTCTTTTGGAGACATCCTATAGATAGGGCCCTTGGGAATCCGGCTACCGGGTTCTAACTCTATTCAGTGCTTGGTTTCTCTTTCAACCACTACACTTTGGGCCTCTCCAACATCAGCGAATTCAACAAATAACTTTTGCACATTGGGGGGAATAGGCTCTTTCTCTTTCTTACTTTCACTCACCGGGCGCACATATGCAACAAACACTTGGTCGGCGAGGTCATTCTTAACCACATGCTGGGCGAACGCGGGGGCACTTATGCAACAAAGGGATAGGCTATTATCTACGCTAGATGCATGGTAAAGTCGAATCTTCTTTTTTCCACTTGTAGGACTAGGCAAACAATTGTCATGCTCACCCAGTTTCACATCTGCATTGGCGGCCTCACCCCAATCAGTTCCTAGAATCATGTCGAAAGGGAGGTTGTCCTCCACGAAGAGTGTCAGGGAGTGCAGAACATGTTTCACCTTTCCCATTGCCTCCAACCGGAAGTATGCCTTAACCCCTTCAACATATCTATCAACCACCATTTTCCTGTTATCTGCTAGTTTACTCACGATGGGTTGTTCTTATGAACCTTAAGCCCTAACCGCAGCTTTTGCAAACCTTCTTACTGATATAGTTGCGTGTTGACCCACTGTCCACTAGTGTGCCAACCCTGACTCCTGTGACTTCGACATCTACAATTATTAACTAACCTTTCTTTTTCTTCATTTCGGCCCAAGCGCGACAACGAGTGATTAGTTCATCACCTATGCCTGTAGGGGAACCACCTAGAGAGGTTCTAACACACACAACCTTTGGACAGTTAATTAGGTGGGGGCCATTTCGCGTCTCAGTCTCTGCCATTGGGATGTCTTGATGCGAGGATGACAGTCTGCTTGCATCCATAGTCCCTGTCGAGGCAACTAAAACCTCTACTGGTTGTTCCCTTTTGGGTACCTATATTCAGGACAAAAGGGAACAATGTGGTCGGGATCACCACATTTGAAACATTGTCCGACAACCTTCCTTTCTTGCCAGACTTTTTCTTCTATTCCCATTTGTTCTCACGGTTTGCCTATGGGAATTCCAAGATGGGTTGGATATGGCCGCCAATTACTTCTACCTCTACCCCCTATGGAGTTGGGACCTCTACCACCTTGTGAGGGACCATTACCCCTTCCTCCCACATAAGTAGCTACCTTCGCCACTACCCCTCTCGGCGTGGACCCTCTTCCTCCACCTCGACTGCAGCCTCATCTTCCTCTACCACGAGCTCTTCCTCCTCGTCGCCCTCCCCCGCGGGTTGCAACAGCCGCATAGTCCCCTCCCTGGGCTAAGTGACTATTGCTTCCATCTTCTAACCCATAGTCTATCTGGTCATAGGTAAGTGATTTTACCCCTCCTTCTTCGAAGGTTACCAATAGGTTATCTTTGCCTACTATATTTCCCGAAATTGTTCGGTCTTTCCATTTCTTGCCAACCTGCAGGTCTTTCCAGTAATGACAATATTGTGTCTCTTGCAGGAAGTCAGCGTGATCTACATTGATCTTACTAAACTTCTCATATGTCATTCCTTCTTCTTTAGTGCAGGGATATAGTTGTGTTTTTAGGTGGTCTGGGAATACTCTAGCAAAGTTGTTTAGGATCTGTGCCGGTGTTAATCCATGATCCGGGCATTGCAACAGTTCATCCATTGTGGCCTTGAGGGCTAACACACTCTTCCATTTACGGTCACTAATGTTAAGGATCAAAGACTTAGTCCTACGGGCCAGATTCTTATCTTCAAATCTTTCTCTAAGGGCTTTGAAGAAGTCTTCGATCCGCATCCGTTGAGAATACCTAACCATGGTTGTGCAGCCAGCCTCTTTCATCAAAGAGATAGCGGAACTCATTGCGTCCCCTGCCATCCATGAACTTGCCATCAACACACGATCCCAGTATGGAATCTTTCGTTCGTACATGTATGTATCCATAGCCGTCTCCCAGTAGAAAATACTTTCTTCTTTCTTCTCCGTATAGGTTCAACGCAACTCCTCTGCTTCTCCGTCTTTCTCCTTCCTGGGACCCTTTCCTTTCTTGTCCCCATCATCTCCATCATCGCCTCCATCTCCTCCCCCGACCCCAATCTTCAACTTCCTTACTACGGCAGGGTCAGTTACCTTTTCAGTAAGGACGTCATCTAGCTGCTTTAAATATCCAAAGATTCAGTCATCTACTTGGTGAGAGGTTGTGCGCAGGAAGTTATTCCAAGTTCCCTCAAACTCTCCCTGATGGAACTCTACTTTACTAACGGATCGAAGGAGGGCAGCGAGTTCTTCGTTAGTGTGGAGGAGGGTGTCAATCAAGAGAGCTAACCATTCGTGTATGGCAGCTTGTTTTCCTTTTTGCTCTTGCAGCAACTTCTGCAGCCTCTACCCCTCCTCTTTCATCCTTTTCTTTTCGTTATACTCCTGTCTTTTCGCCGCCACCATCTTGTTGTTCAATTCTGCTTTCTTCTCCTCCAATAATAGATTATTTTCCACCTCGTCTGCTGCAGAGGCTAATTTAATAATAGAGGCATTTTTCTCCTCCTCTTCCGAAAACTCAGTCCTGTACCTGAACTGCTCAATCTAGTTCAGCGTCTCCAATTGTTGTATATGGATTGCCCCAGCCTGACTGCTCTCAGCCTTCTCTTTCCTGCAGCTGGGTTCTTCTCCTTTCCAACATTTCTCCTTCATCTTCTTCTTCTTCTACTACTTCTTTTTCTTCTTCTTCTTCTTTCAATTCCTCCAACATTTTTCTCTCCTTCTCCTTCATCTCCTTCTCCATCTTTTCTTTCTCTTCCAACTTCTTCTTCATCTCCGCCTCCTTCTTCCTTTACTTCTCCTCCTTTTCTTTTTTCTTTTCTGCCAAACGGCGGTCTATCTCTTTCCGTTCCTCAACTGTCTGGGCCTGCGTCGACTTCCCAGACCTCAGCATCATATGTGAGGAGAAGGTTCGCTGGAACCCAAGAGGAAATAATAAGCGAAGTAGGGGTCCCCATAGCACAGACAGGGATAGGAGTGTGAACATGGGGTAATCGCCCATGGTAAACAAAGGCACAGGTACCTACCCTCCACCTCCTCACCACTTAGATCTAACCCCGACTACTAATTACTAACTCACAAGTGGGTCTGACTGTTGCTGACTGCTGAATACCTCCCCATAACTATATATGTATACACCTTTTTTTTTTTTTAGCGATTGGACTGGTTACTAGACTCAACTATGTCACGATATTCGGACCAGCCCACCAGCAGCGACAGTAGGATGAGGAAGGTACCAAACACCAAGACAGATCAGCAAGCAATACAGGTTTAATGGGGGGATGCACTACACTCCAATGAACGTTCGTTGATGAAGCTCCACTGCCGCTCCAACGCTCCAACGCAGCAGCAATCAGGTGCGTAATCACCACTCAACAGGTTCCTTCTTCCTCGGCCTAGTTCTCTACCCCCTTCGCCAGTCTTCTCCCCACTCAACTCACTCCCTTATCTCCCTCCTCGCCGGCCTTAATCATTGCCAGCGATGTCCAGTGGATGCAGCGAGCAACTGCTCAGATACCAATTTGCAATGAACCTTCTAGTTCAACACCAGTGAGCGCACCTATTCACACCACATGCATGTATGAGATCACACGAAGTTCACACTGGAGACCAGAGACATTAAGAACAGGTAGCGCAGCTTATGAATTCCAACAAGTTATTACAAGAGCAATAAGAGTTCCAAGGCACCAGCGCTCATCAGTGCATGTCAAAGGTAACCATTAACCAGCATAAGCTCTCAGGTGAGTATCTCTTTCCCCACTGCTCTTCTCTCTTATGTATCTCCCCTTCTTGCTGGTCTCCTCTCTAGCTATGTCCTTACTGTGTGTCTTCTCTCCCTGCATGCCTGCACACACACTAACTTCTACTCAAGGATATACTCTGAATACACCCACTGATATGCCTACTAACCATCTGAAGTCTACTACTAACACTCAGCACTGGCGCAGCTATGGCTGCCTTCTCCCTGCCAGCGCAATCTCTTCTTCTTTCTCTCTCTCTCTCTCTTAGAGCAGCACTCTGGCTTCAGCGCTCTGCCCCTCACTACAGCGCACAAGTGCACCAGCACTTCCACACTCCTTGCGAATGAGCAATCTTCCCAAATGGTAGGCTGACCAGTCCTTTTGTAGTCTTGGATTGCACTTCAACTCGTGCCAGCCTCTGCTTCTTCGGGCCTGACTGGGTTCCGGTACCGCATCCCCACGGTCTGTCTGCTTCTGAATGTCAAGGCCTGGAACCTTCCTGAATTTCCATTGGTCTGCTGCTGCTTGGGCCTTTGAGTCATGACTTTTCGGTTTTGGCATATGGGTTTTCACTGTGGACTGTGACTCCTGCCTCTCGGACACAACCCTAGTCTATAGGACTGCCCTTTCACTCGTGGGATGTGACTCTTCAATATGACTTTTCATTATGAACGTGACTTTTGTCCCTGAGATGTGACTGTTTGCTGGGTGCCTGTTGGACTAGACTGCTAAGGTACCCGACTGTGACTTTCCTGAATTTGACGAACTCGGTTTCTCTTGACCAGGGCCTTTGACCCTGAGATCCGATTTTGGGGTCTGAATCGTGGAAGGCCTTTCATAACACATGATACAAGCAGAAAGAAGATTAACACCACATGAATTGGGGTATTATCAGGATTGCTGGACCTATTGGTGCTGAGCACGCCTACAACTTCCACTCTGATGCACATAATCTCTCCCACATCCAGTTCAGCAAAGGACAACCCACATGAGACACGATGGCCCCTTTATCCCAAAATTGTGCCTGGAGACTGCCAAGGCTGATGCCTGAACCACAGAAAGCTTGAAACATTAACGCACTGAATGAAGGAAACTACTCACCAGAAGTTTCAACCACATACAGATCATCACAGCAGTGAGAGGGAAGCTCCAGAAACGCAAACACTCAGGGGTTGGGGGAGAGTGCCCGAAGACTGCCATGGCTGACGCCTGAACCACAGAGTGCTCAAAATATTATCACACTGAATTGAAGAAACTACTTGCCAGAAGTTCCAACCACATAGACATCATCGCAGCAGTGCGGGAGCAAACTGCAGAAAGAAAACATGGGGGGGGGGCGTGGAGAATTCCCCAAGACTGCTATGGCTGACGCCTGACCCACAGAGTACTCAAAGCATTAACATTCTGAATGAACAAAACTTCTCCTCAGAACTTTCAGCCACACACCCATCATCACAGCAATGAGAGGGGCAAACATGAGAGAGAGAGAGAGAGAGAGAGAGAGAGAGAGAGAGAGAGAGAGAGAGAGAGAGAGAGAGAGAGAGAGAGAGAGAGAGAGACAGTTCTGTATCCATTAGTGGGACAGAAAGGACATATCCCACTTTCTTTCATCTTTCAGATCAGGAATCGATGGGGGGTTCCTGAGTCGTTTTCTGGATTTCTCTATTTCTGAAGTTTGTCGCAGTAATTTCCTAAGTAGCTCCAATTTTTCATAGCCAAAGCCGGGTAATGGCCCCGGTATCTCAATTTTCAAAGTCTATGTGAAGTTCCATATGGGACGCTGGGCCCGGTTCCTAGCACGTGCTGCTCCCCACGAATAGATTGGAGCCTTGTTCCCATACCGCCCGAGCTGAAATCAAGATGGAACTGATTGTATATAAAAAACCATGAAGTTCAAAAAGTGATCATAGTATCATCATACACATCAGCAGCACGCCACTGATTGTCTATCTTTTTTCCCATACAGCAAGAGGAAAGCACTGTCGGCTACAGCCAAAAGGAACCACCACACTGACCGTCGTGTTCTAGTATTCTGGTCTTTCCTTAGCCCTCTAAACTCACAACAGAAGGGAACTTGGTATCCATCCCACAAAATGAATTTCCAGAAGCTCACACTGCCTCAGCACTGGGAAGAACTCTGCTGGAAACCAGTTCGATACAGTTATGCTGATGGCCAACTTTCTCTGAGAACAAAAAGGATAGGTCCATGTGAACTAATACCTAACAAGGGGCAGACAGATTCAATTTTATTGTACAGGCGGATCCACCCGTCCCCGCCCAATGCCGAACTCTGAGGAAAACTTTTCATGTTTTCCCCAGATTTCAGTTCAGTGATTTACCTATCCAACTCTACAACAGGCACGGTCTCCGTCCCTCCTACGGTTTACAAGCTGTGGCTGTGTTTCACAGAATTGCACGCATAGTTACATGCAGATGGTCCTCCGAGAGCCAACTGTAGAGGGCTGGTAACTCCTCATCTACTCTATCCTTGAAGCGCCCCACGAACGACGGCACCTTGCTCAGATAATGAACAACAGTTGCCCCCGGTTGGATGCGCTTGTAGTGTGAAATACGATTTCCGTCTTTCGACGCCTGAAACCAGTAGTCGTCCAAACAGTGCTCGGAGAACGGAGCAAGAACTGCATCCACCTTTTGACATTCTTCATCACTGGGGAGCGAGAGATCAGCTGGGCGCTGGAGCGGTACGGTGGTGACAGAGATTGTTTTCTCCAGTGACATGTTCTCGTATATCACAATCGAGATGTTATCTATGCAAAAAGTGCCATCTCTACTGTTGTCTGCAATGGCAGCCAGGTTTTGGCTTTCTTCAGCGCAAATTCGGTGCAGTGTCCTCAACTGCTCAGGGGTGATGCGTTTGTTGTCCTGAACAGCACCCAGAGTTGTCTTAGGCCATCTGGAACCCGGGTTTTCCTTCAAGTATGGGAATCTTTGCTCAAATGCCTCTCTCAGCTCCAGCATGGCAGGAGGCATCCCACTATAGGCAATCGTCAAGACACCTTGCCATGCAACAAAGAAAGCTTTTGCGCGAAGACAGAACGACCTCGATTGCTGAAGGATGTCACATAACTCCCCACTTACAGAAACATCCTCGGCAGTTGTGCTCCTGACAGGAAGGCTATGCCCTTCTGGGTTGAGAGCTGCTTCACCAGGCACTGTTGATGTGGCCATTCCCCTCCCCTTCTCCAAAAAATGTCTCAAGTGAACCACGGTATGTTTCCGGAGATATTTCTGCACAAGGATACCGAAAACTGAAGGCCGTGAGAAAAACACAGCATGCTGCTTTCTTTCCTTTTCTCCAAACCAGAATGGTTGGTTGCTGTCCTTCGGGACATCCGTTAAAATTGGAACAATAGAGAGAAGATTAGCACGGCCCCTGCGCAAGGATGACACGCATAAATCAAGAAATGGTCCAAATTAAAAAAGAAAAAAGAAAAAAAAAAGGAGGAAGAAGAAGAAGAAGAATGGTTGGTTGCTCACAAGGAAAGCAATCACATCCATCTTAAAACGCAACCTTTCACAGTGTTGGGAAAAGTGGGAATATAACCTATACTTCATTCTTCGGGGAGCGGGCCGAAAGTAGGCCGCAGTTGATAAATTTCATCGGTGGCCAACTTTTCGTTTCCCTCCTGCGGAACTCGTGGGTACTGGCCCGCGGACGATCTAGGGGAAAGGGACTGGTGGTTTAAGGTTTATTGCTGTGCCACACATTCCCTACCAGCTCTCCTCCCTTGTCTCCCCACTTTCCACCTAACTACTTGTGCATGCTTTCACAAGATGCCATCATGTTGTCTTTCCTTTCCTCCAATAACAACTTGAAGGTGGTTTGCTTTCAGGGAGAGCGAGTCCCAGCTACCTGCATCACGTGCTGCTCTCCGGATCCCCCCCTCCTCTCTGATCTGCATCATCTACCTGACCTCTTCTAGCTTACATTGTCAAGACGCATTCTACTTCGCTTAGGGATTCCTTTCAACTGCCGGTCCCCCTTGGCAACCCCATCTGTGACAAGTTTACTACATGAAAAAGCCAGCCCCTTGCAACACTGCTGCACAGCTCCATTACCTCTACCGCCACCCAGATTGTCCGTCATGTACCCAAGAAGAAAAAGGAGAAAAGGGATGGCAGCTACGGAGATATCCCAGGTGCCCGGGTCCCGACGTCACGCCTGGTTTGGCGACCGGGTGACCGGCCGGGCATGACCCCCGGGCATGGCCCCGGGCAGCCCCAGTGCAAAAAAAAAAAAAAAAAACACTGAAAAAAGTTCAAAAAACAGTATGTTGTTTAGAATTGCAATACAAACAACTTTTGGCTGAGGGTCACATCAGAATTCCTCGCGGAACTAAAGATAAAAAAGAAAATAACCAAATCATACTAAGCCACCCCCCTTTAAACCCCTTTTGCGGAAGTTTAGTCCCTTTAAAATTCATTTATACTCTCCTTCACCCCCCTTGACAGCCAACACTCAAAAAAAGAAAAGAGCCCGGATTTGGGCTCCTCTTGGAGAGCGCGGAAAAACCCCACCACCAATTTTTTTTGTGTGTGTGCCATGAGCGGGTATCCTGGGCGTCTTGCCCGGGTGACCGGCCGGTCCAGACTGGCCGGTCATGAAAATCTTCCTAGGATGGCAGCAAACGAAAACCAGGTTTCCCTGCACACACGCGTATCTGGATTCCCTTTGCCTGAGTGGACAAGGCAGAAAGGCGATGGCGGAATGATCATGCGATCATCTCAGTACTTTTTGGATTTGGACCTATATCTCAGCATTATTATTATTATTTTTAAATACGGTTGTACCCAACTCACTCTTTATGTGGTTGTTTGAAGCAATTAACTCCCCCAGGGGAGTAAAACTTTACATGATGTACTATTTCCACATGAACTCTGTCTTCCATTTTGTGAGTTTCCAAACGTGTGCCAAAGAATTCATCTGAACACTGGATGTGGATGCACTAAATATACCTGATTCCCTCCCTAGCAAGCACACATAAATGAAGAGATCGGCCTGCACTTTCTTCGCGCGTGGGTGCCAACGCGCTGCCAGCAGGGCAGGGTTAACGGGAAACTGGGATAAACAGCCGTCTTAGATTTTTTTATTTTATTTTTTATTAAAACCGGTCCTTATGGCCCTGCCTCCATTTCCATTCTGGAGAGCATCAGTCCAGTTCCTATTCCACCGGCAAGTCAGAATAAAATATTACATCATGAAACACACTCAGGCTTCTTTCCGTCTGGCCGAAGGAACCCTGACCAGCATTGTGGAGGATTGACTGTCAGCTTCTCTTACTTCCACCTTTCCTCTCAGGTCCACTGCATGAACCTGTCAGATGAAAGATAAAGAGCAAGAAACGTAATAGAAGCTACAGAGGATGCAGTCTCGTAATTGCCCTTCAATATTACATGGGCTGTGGCGGATCTTGTCCACCTGCTGGCTGGGATATCTGCCTTCTCCACCCGGCTTCTGAGTTGTGCCAGTTTTTCCACCGTATGCCAAAGTCATTTATCTCAGGTACTTGGCCCCCTGCGAGCCACACCTTAATGAATTTTGCCTTGATTCTTGTCTGTTGCTCTTCGTCATTTGGCATGGAGTGTCTCGTCTTATGCCACTTACCCAGAATCTCTGCCTGCAATCAAGGTCCTTGTCTCCGCCCGTACCTTCTCCCTTGGAGTTGAGAGTCCCTCAATGGTTCTGCAGCACCTTTCCTTCCAGATGGACCACACTCACCACAGTGTTACCTTTCTCATCATTCCGAACCACGTTTTCTCTGTCTTGTGGAATTGAGCTGGGATGTTAGTCCATAGAAGGAGTTGGATGGGGTGTTCAGGAGGGGAGTTGAGAAGAGGGAGTCCCAGAGATCCGAGGACCTCGCCCAATATTCCATCGCCTCTCTACAGTGTATCCGGCAATGTATCATATCTTCTGGTTCGTTTTCTGAACATACCGCACATAAATCTGAGCTGTTAGGGTGATTCTTACATCTTCTGATATGCAGCCACTGGTTAACCGGTAGAGCCACATATGAGATGAGCCATTGGAGGCTTCTGATTTTGACCGGTCGGATTGACTTGAAAATTTTCCATGGTATTTGTGGGATCTGACTAGCGTCCTGACCATATAACTTCTGCCATCTGTTCTTCATTGTTGGGTCAGGATCCTTTGTCTTCATTGTTGGGTCAGGATCCTTTGTTTTGAGGAGTAGGTTGTATCCCAGTTTGACTGTGTATTCCTGGATGGGGACATTCGCTTTGAGATTCCTGCTTCTGTCTGGTGTCCAAGCCCACTCTGCTGGATCAAATTCCAAGTCTTGAATCGCCGTATCTATTCTGAATATTGTTTTTGGCCATGATCCCGACACTCTTACTTTTTTTAGTACAAAAGGGTTTAGGACTGTTCTTTCTACCTCCGTATTCAGGATAGATGGGAGGCCTTGCGTGGAGAGGGTAATTGGGAAAGAGGTAAACACCACCAGGGTATTCGACCCTTGCTGCTTACGGGGAAATTGATAGGCCCTTGAGGGGTTTAACTCCTGCACCCTCACTCCCCATTCGCCCGATTCCCAGGTTGAGGCTACGCTCAACAACTCCTTCCAGCCTTCTGGGATGCAGTTGATAATGGATTGTTTGATAATGGATTGTAGATTCTCATCCCGACGGTGACATCCTTTGAGCTGGGAGGCGGCAAGTTCCTATTCTGTCACCCAGTCCTTTTTCTCCTCGTTCCACGGATGGCTCACTTTCCGGACTCCATGTTTGATCCACAATAGTCATCTCCTTCCTCTAGGCTTAAGGGATAGTTGGTGATCACTTTCATCTCTCAACCACGGATTACCAAACAGGGGTTGCCTCAGTACCTCATCTTTGGATTTGGGTCTACCCACCTTCTTCGGGATGACTTCCCGCCGTATCCGTAGCAAAGCGGTCCGATATGGTGTGTGGGGCCTGGCTTCGTTTGGCCCGGTTCCTCTTCGTTGATTTCTGCGCCCTGTACTTGGGCTCCATTCCTTGGTCATTACCCAGAACAGACCGAACATATTTTCTGGTGTGGTTGTAGGTGCTACGCCCCTGATGCTATCCAAGGCCAGTTTATTCCATGCCGTTCCAGGTTTGGTCAATAGTTTGACTATCCATTTAACTTATAAGACTTTGGTTTCCTGTTTGGGGTCTATGATACCAAGACCTCCTCTGGCTGGTTTCTTTGTGATGTAATATGCCAGGCTATCTTTGGTATGCAGTTCTCTTTGTTGGGGTCGCCCGACCACAAGTAAGCTCTTGCTCTACGATTAAGTACCTTGATTGAATGGTCCGGAACTGTCCAGATTGACGCTATATACCACATTATTGAAAAGATTGATGTGTTGATGGCCAGTGCTCGGCCCAACAATGATGTGAATGCGCTACCCCACCTGCCCAGTTTGTTAATTTGTTTGACGAGTTAGGCTACCAGAGTGGCCCGGGGTCACTTGCCCGGCCGGGCCGAAAAAAAAAAAAAAAAAAAAAAAAAAAAACATTATTTTCAAATTTTAATTTTTATTCTCAATTTGGTGAAGAATTTCGATGCGACCCTGAGGCAAAAGTTGTTCAGTTTATTTTTCTGCATAACATATTTTGTTTGCAGATTTTTTGGAGTTTATTATTTTTATGTTTTTTTTGCTGAGACCTTCCCTGGTTCTTGCACAGGCTGGCCACCCAAGACCCGGGCAGCCCGGCTGGTAGCCTAGTTGATGAGTACATTTTGGGCCATTTGAGGGGCAAAGCCGTCTTTTGTCAGCAAGATGCCTAGATATCGCGTAGGGGTCTCTGATGTCTCCCATGTCATGTCTGCATCGGGGCCACTGTCTTAGAATCATTTTTCTTTTTTTTTTTCTTTTTTTTTATAACAAAAACAGGACCTTATGGTCCTGGCTCCTTTCCATTCTGGGGAGCATCAGTCCAGTTCCTATTCCACCGGCAAGTCAGAATAGACATTACAATAAGAACCACCCACGCTTCCTTCCATCTGAGAGAATGGAAAAACGAATTTCAATTCTCCGATCCTCCTCCAATCAATCCGGAGTACTTTTTCCGAGAATCACAACCGCATTGTCAACAACCCCGAACAACGAAAAACAAATGTTCAGTGAAGTATGCAGGAGTCTACTTCTTCCTCCTAGCCACCTCATACCCCTGGCTATGGCTGCCGTAGCAGCAATAACCCCACAGCTGTCACAACGTGCCAATCTGAACCAACAACCCCA